AACGCATCTGTGTGCATGCATCTGCATTGGCTACTGCTGCTGCTGCTGCTGCTGCTGCTGCTGCTGCTGTCTCTTGTCTCTTCTAGCAGCACGCGGCCCATCGCTACAGTTTGCACGCAGACCCAAACTCAACTTCAACTCTACTCTCCCTTCTCATGCATGCATATATATATATATATATATTATAAATATAAATATATGTATATATATATATATATATATTAATGTGTGTGTGTGTGTGTGTTCTTTAGTGTATTTGCCTGCAAGTTGGTTTCATGAAGTGATATCGTATTCAAATAATAAAAATCTAAAAGAGACACCAGAAGCAGCAGCAGCAGCAGCAGCAGCAGCAGCAGCAGCAGCAGCAAGCGGCAGCGGAGACACTGCAGCAAAAGGAGACACGAAAGAAGACAACGTGCACATAGCATTTAACATATGGCTGCACCCTCCCTCTTCAAACGCAACATTTGAGAAGCCTTACTGTGACTCTTTCTGGGCTCAGCAGCAGCAGCAGCAGCAGCAGCAGCAGCAGCAGCAGCAGCAGCATGCAGAAGGGGACAGTACATCTGTCAATGTGCGTTCAAAGGCACCCAAAGGCTTTAACTCCGCCACCTTGTCTGCTGAAGGCGCTGCAGCAGCAGCAACAACAACAGCAGCTCCTTCTGCAGCTGCTATTGCTGCTGCTGCTGCTGCTGCTGCTGATGCTGCTGCTGCTGCTTGTCCTCTGAAGCCGAGGAGGAGGGCTGAGAAGCTAAGAGGGAAGCCCCACTCTAAACGCCTGATGACCCTGAGGCGTTTAGTCGGCGTTATGAAGAAATAATTATATATATAATATATAATTATACATATATATATATGTATATCTATATATATATTTATATATATATGCATATAGATCTATATATATATGCATATACATACATATATACGTATATTTATATTTATATTTATATTTATATTTATATTTATATTTATATTTATATTTAAAATTTCATAGTTCAATTAACTAACATAACACATCTATACTCACCTACCTCACGCATGCATGCATGCATGCATGCATGATGTTGAGTGTGTAGGTGTGTTTATTTTGTTTTGTTTTAATTAGCGGGGCTTTGCTTTTCGCTTGGTGTCTCTGCCGCCTCTGAGAGATGCAGATGGAGACAGTGCTGCTGTCTTTAGGCCTGCAGTTTATACTGCTGTCCTTTGCTGCTGCTGCTGCTGCTGCAGCTGCTGCTGCAGCAACAAGGCGCCATAGAGGTGGGCCTAGAGAGACAGCAGCAAAGCCCAGCAGCAGCAGCAGTAGAGCAGCAGCAGACAGAGAGAGACAGATAGAGATAGAGATAGAGACAGAGACAAGCAGACATTTGCACAGAAATATACAAAGAGAGACAGTTATATATATTGATATTTCTGCTTGCAAGTCTACAGGGTTTAATAAAAACAAGATTTAATAGGGTTAGTGCATGCAGCAAAAGGGAGTGGGCCTCTATGATTGCATGCATGCATGCATGCATGATTGCATGCATGCATGCATATAGGGCTTCTAACGTCAGCGAGAGGTAAAGAAATAATGCATATATATATATAGTGTGTATATATAGTGTGTATATGTATATAGATATACATACATACCCCTATATTATCTATATTATCTATATATAACCCTATATTATCTAATATTATATATAGACCCCTATATAACTATATTATATATATATACATATATATATATAAATATATTTATTTATTTATTTATAGCTGCAATCACAACTGCTAATAATTCGGCGGCCGTGTGAATTGTTGCTGCGAAGTGTAGCTGCGACTCCGCTGTATATTTTTTATATTATTTTTAAGGATGTTGCTGCTATTAATACTCTATTAGTAGTAAAAAGATATATATATTATACATATACATATATATACTAACTATATATATATATACATATATATATATATATTATATATATTATATATATGAGTGCCTCTATAGAGGAGTGCAGAGGTAATACGCACAAAAATAGAATTATTTCGCCATTCTGAAGGTGACCATTGGTCATTTGTTTAATTTATTTTGATAAAATGCAGCAAAAATACTAAAAAAATTTAATTTGGCTTCAGCTGTACATACACTGCACAGCGACAAGATGTGTGTATAGGAGTTTCGTTTGTTTGTCTTTCTTAATTAAAATAATGAGAGGACAATGTCCAAATAAAGCTTTATTTGAATTAAATACTCTTTTATATTTATTTATTTTTATTTATTTATCTATTTTATTTGCCTTTATCCTCCACCTGCAGCGCCGCGCTGCATGCATCTGCAGCAGCAGCAGCAGCAGCAGCAGCAGCAGCCCTGAGATTAAACTTTTGCTGATTGTTTCCCTGTTTGCTGCTTCTGCTGCTGCATTTTTATTATTTCTTTTACTTCTTTAAAGTATAATAAAGGGTTATAGACGCATAGATTCGCCCATAGTGAGGGCTCCTTCACTCTTCTCTCCGCTGCTGCTGCTGCTGCTGCTGCTGCCGCTGCTGCTGCTCCCCCTGCTGCTGCTGCTGCCGCTGCTGCGCACATGTCGCCTTCTGCAGCAGCTCGAGTGTCTCATCTGGGGCCCCTACGGGGCCCCGGCCGCTTAATGTACCCTCCGGGTTTCTTCGGCACCCTCAGCCCAGTGCAGCATCAGGGGGCCCCCCAGGGGGCCCCCCTGTGTGGATTGTTGCATCATCAGGGGGCCCCCCTTGGGGCCCCCCTAGGGGCCCCCCTGGGGGCCCCAGTATCTGGGGTGTCTTCAGTGGTGTTGTTCCGTCGCTTTAGCAGCTTTAATCATAATATAGGGCCGCACAAAGCAGACCCTCCTGCAAGTGAGAAGCCTTTATATTTGAACAGATTTGATCAGGCTGACGATCCGTCATTATTTGCTGTTGAGGCGGAAGCAGTACAGCAGCTGAAGCAGCAACAGCAGCAACAGCTACTGCAGCAGCAGCAGCAGCAGCAGCAGCAGCAAGGGAGCTTGATTGAAGCAGCAGATGTTGTTCAGCCTTCTAATCATCCTCATCAAAGAAAAGGATTTCTTAAACGCATGCGCTATTGGCATTATCATCAGACAGCAGAACCCACATTCCCAAAGACACCGGATCTATCCAAGGGAGGTGAGGCGCATGTCTTTTTATTTATTTGTTTGTTTGTTTGTTTGTTTGTTTGTTTGTTTGTTTGTTTATTTGTTTGTTTGTTTGTTTGTTTGTTTGTTTGTTTGTTTGTTTGTTTGTTTGTTTGGTCTCTGTAGCTGTCTTGGTTGTCTCTTTATGATTATTATTATTATATTATTATTATTTTATTATTTTCATTATATTATTATTATTTATTTTTGTTATTATTATTTTATTATTTTTATTATATTATTATTTTTATTATTGTTTTTATTATATTATTATTACACATTTGTTTCTGAGGTTTGTTAGAGTGGTGTGCAGATGCTGTCTCTCTCCTGTCTCCTTTTGCTTCTCTTTCCCTTTGCTGCTGCTGCAGCAGCAGCTACTACTACTACTGCTGCTGCTGCTACTGCTGCTGCTGCTACTGCTGCTGCTGCTACTGCTGCTGCTGCTACTGCTGCTGTTGCTACTGCTGCTACTGCTGCTGCTGCTACTGTTTTTGTTTAAATATATATATATATATATACCTATACATATTAATTTATTTATTTATTTATTTATTTAAACAAAAGCAGCTTGTATGTTTGCGTTTGATTAGAATTGGCTGCGGGCGCAACGGTGACGCGTACAACTGTGTGGAATACCTCAGCAGCAGCAGCAGCAGCAGCAGCAGCAGGAGGAGGAGCAGCAGCAGCAGCAGCAGAACCATCAATCGTAGCAATAAGCCGGTTCTCTCCTAACAACTTTCGAGCAGTTGGATATGCAGAGAACGCCCCTAATCCCAGCAGCATCAACAGCGATGCACATCCAGACTTTAGAGATTATAGGCTGAAGAGCAGCAGCACAGACCGGAGGCCCTTCATGTACTTCTTATCTGCTTCCTACTTCTTCATCGGTGCGAGCATGATGCGCAGTCTGCTCTGTAAGATGGTACACTTCTGGTGGGTTAGTAAGGTACGCTCATCTATACTCCTGCTGCTCCTCATGCTGCTGCTGCTGCTGATGCTGCTGCTGCTGATGCTGCTGCTGATGCTGATGCTGATGGTGATGATGATGATACTGATGCTGATGATGGTGGTGATGCTGATGCTGATGATGGTGGTGATGCTGATGCTGCTGATGATGATGTTGCTGATGCTGATGATGATGCTGCTGATGCTGCTGCTGATGATGCTGCTGATGATGCTGCTGATGATGATGCTGCTGATGATGATGATGATGCTGCTGCTGATGACGATGTTGTTGCTGCTGATGCTGCTGTTGCTGCTGCTGCTGCAACCACAACAGCTACCATTGTTGCTTCTACGACTCCTATTACAGCTGCTGGTGCTGCTGCTGTTGCTGTTGCTGCTGCATAGGATTTGATGGCTGCAGGTACGACAGAAATAGATCTTCGTCCAATTGCTGCAGGGACAACAGCAGTATTTAAGTGGAGGGGTAAACCTGTCTTTGTAAGACACCGCACTCAAGAGGAAATAGAGAGAGCAAGGTAATAATTAATTATTATTTATTTTATTTATTTTATTTATTTTATTTATTTTATTTAGTTTAATTTATTTATTATTATCTATTTAAATACGCATTTACTTCCTAGATATTTAAAACAGAGAGTTGCTGCTGCTTGCTGCTCCATCGGGGTTGTCGCTGCTGCTGCAGCAACAGCAACAGCAGCAGCAGCAGCAGCAGCAGCAGCAGCAAAGTGTAGAGTGCAGTATGTTTCTGCTTGTGCACAACAGTCTCTCTCTCCAGGTTTTTCTTCATACATACCTCCTCCTCCTCCTACTGCTGCTGCTGCTGCTGCTGCTGCTTCTGCTGTTGCTGCTGCTACTGCTGCTGCTGTTTGTTTGTTTAGGGCTGATGATTTATTGGTGGGTACAATGAAAGACCCTCAGCTGGATTCAGAGCGTTGCATGCGGCCTGAGTGGTTGATAAACATCGGCGTATGCACACACTTGGGGTGTATACCCGTTGAAGGAGGCAGCTACAGCGGATGGTTCTGCCCTTGTCACGGCTCGCATTACGACATCTCAGGTATTGCCTCTACTCTTCATCGCTTCATTTATTTATTTAATTAGTTATTTATTTAATTAGTTATTTAGTTAGGTAGCTAGCTAGTTAGATTGTCATATATATATATATATAGATTGTCATATATATATATCGGTGTATTCGAGCTGTGGGGTTTATAAGCCAGATGTTGGGTGTATTGTGGGGTGTATAGGAAGCTTATTGGGGTGTATAGGGAGCCTATTGGGGTGTATAGGGAGCCTATTGGGGTGTATAGGAAGCTTATTGGGGGGCTTATTGGGGTGTATAGGGAGCCTATTGGGGTGTATAGGGAGCTTACTGGGGAGCTTATTGGGGTGTATAGGGAGCTTATTGGGGAGCTTATTGGGGTGTATAGGGAGCTT